AATTCTTAAGAGATCAGTAAATTTAAATGTGGCAGCTTACAAGGGTTAAGAGCAAGACAGAAAACTAGTGAGATCCTGAGACTACTCAGTAACTCTCAGAACTTGGAACACAAGCTAATCTCACAATTTCCTTAATCTAATCCTTCTTGGATTATATTCTTCATAGAGACCAATAAGTGAAGTAACTGTGCCTGACTGGAGAACAGGTGAGGTCTCATCAGTGGAGTTTCACTGCTACTTTCCTCTCATTTTTCATTGGTTAATAATGTGATAGAGCTGAGGCAATGGGTGTACAATCATTTCTGTTCCCAGGGAGGTCAGAGGCTCCACAGCATGGCAACAGCTCTGCAGATGCGCACATCAGGATAGCTGAAATATCAGAGTCCTGCAAAGGTCATGGCTGAGAGCATCAAGAGACTTGCACTGGCTCCTTTCACCAACTTGTCTTCATGAACATAGTAATAACCTGTCCAAGACCCCAGTGACTATGGAGCCAGTGAGGAGTGCACCACAGAGCTCAGATACAGACAGGCAGCTGGGAGCAGGCTCAGCAGCAAGACATTGATGGCTCTCTCACTAGTCCAGTGCAGAAACGCAGCCTTAGAGTTAGAGCTGTGGCTGGCAGACAGGTGGATGTGCCATCCTCCAGAGACGCTGGCACGAAGGTGGGTCTGACCACACAGGTACCCAGGAGCAGAGCTCGCCCCCCCCGCCCCGGGCGCAGGTTAGGAGGTTCAGGTGCCCCAGCGCATGTCTGCCTGAAGCGCTCAAGGTCACTCGGTGACCCGATTGCGCTTCAGAGCTCATATTGATAATACAAAAGTAGCAACAACGAAATATGTTTTTAATGAAGTGAGAAGCAGAGGAAGCCCAGCACAACCAGAATCACCTCTGAACGAATGTTCTCCATTCTCTATTCTATGTGACTAATGTTTAAATAAGGCTTACACCTTCCAAAGGGACACAGCATGGAGTTCTGCTTCTGCGATCCAAGATGGCAGAGTGAGAAATAAGTTGCTCTCACCCTTCCTTATTAACCTCTGAAAGCCCAGAAAATATCACCCCAGGAAAAACCCTGAAACAGCCAAACCAGCAGAAAGACAAAGTGCAGTAGTCCAGGAGCCCAGCTAGCTTGAGGGACTGACGGGAAAGGTGCCTCTTGCCCTGGGGGAAGGGGAACAGTACAGAACGGGAGGCATCCCAGCAAGCTAGTGGAAAGCCCCAGCTCAGCCTACCAGGGGGAGATCCTGAACCCCAGGTAGTGGGGCAGGCAAACATTAACACCGGGACCCCCAAGTGCCTCAGTAAGGGCAGGGGTACCAGTAGAAACTGGCTCAGCATTCTACAGCAACCAAGTCTCCCGGTGCCTCAGCAAAACTCTAGGGAAGTGCTCCAAGGGTACCCCCTAGGAGGAGAAACATCCTGCAGCAGCGAAACATCCATCTGCAAAGAGCTGAAGAAAGTAAAAGAAGGGAAGGGAAAGGAAAGGCCCGGGTGAGCAGGCAACCTCCAAGGACCAGACTACCCAATCCACCCCTAGAGTTCCAGTGTTGCTGATTCCAGCGGCAGAACCCTACAGCCTCCAACTGCCAGCATCTGAGGCCCCAGCACACAAAGCCAGCAACCGGGCCCCAGGCTCCCAACACAAGAAGCTTGGGTCAGTGCCCCCTGCTCCCCAGCAGGAGAGCTTAATCTCTGTCAAGGCCAAGAAATAAGCAAACACCATGAGCAAGAAGAAACGTACTACAGATTCTTATTAGGGGAAGAGCGAAGATCAAGGCAGAAATTTTGAAGAGGACAATATTGTCAACAAACCCACATCCGGAACCTCAAAAGGGAATATGAACTGATCTGAAGCCCAAACAGCCTTCTTGGAAGAGCTCAAGAAGGATTTTAAAAGTCAAATAAGAGAGGTAAAAGAAAAACTGGGAAAAGAAATGAGAGGTATGCAAGAGAGAATCAATAGTTTGGAAAAGGAAGGACAAAAATGAACTGTAGAAAACAAGTCCCTAAAAAATATAACTGGCTAAATGGAGAAGGAGGTACAAAATCTAACAGAAGAAAACAATGTGTTAAAAATTAAAATTGGGCAAGTGGAAGCTAATGATTCTGTGAGAGAGAGCAAGAATCAGTCAAACAGAAACAAAAGAACGAAAAAATAGATGAAAATGTAAAATACCTCACTGGTAAAACAACCAACTTGGAAAATAGATCCAGGAGAGACAATTTAAAAATTATTGGTTTACCTGAAAACCATGATGAAAAAAAGAGCCTGGACAGCATCTTTCAGGGAATCAGGGAAAACTGCCCTGAGGTCCTAGAACCAGAGGGTAAAATAGCCATAGAAAGAATCCATCGATCACCTCCTGAAAGAGATCCCAAATTGAAAACACCAAGGAATATAGTAGCCAAATTCCAAAATTACCAGGTCAAAGAGAAAATACTGCAAGCAGCCAGAAAGAAACAATTTAAATATCATGGAACCACCGTTAGGATTACACAGGACCTTGCAGCTTCTACGTTAAAAGACTGTAGGGCATGGAAAACGATATTCCGTAAGGCAAAGAAGTTTGGAAAAGGGACACACCATTCAGATTTGGGTTTCATATATCATCTTCCTTTTCTGTCTCTGTATAGGGAAATGTTCATATCTGTTGGCATTTGACAAGTTCACAAAAACAAGAAGGTATTTATCTTTAAAAAGAAAATGTACTTCATTTCTTTCCAGAGGTGAGGATTATGAGTTTAGAACAGCACATATTCTATCAGACTGTTAATGTATTGATTATTTTTACAGAACCAACTGTTTTCTTTCTAGGTCTTTGTTATACAAGACAGAGCTCAATGTTGGATAAGAAGGAGAACATATTTAGAAATAAAGGTAATGTAAAAACAAAGAAAAATAAAATTTTAAGAACTACTTCTGAAAATCCATAAATTGCTGGTAAATGGACCGTTTCCACATGTAATGATTTAGAATTAAATCTTCCTTTCTATTCTAGCAGGATAGAACAAATAAACACTATTACTACTACTTAACTCATATACCCAAACAGTCAAAGAAAGTGTGAAGAGGAATATAAACTTGCTACAACTCAATGCAGATAAGATAGTAGAAAATTTCCTGATTAAGAATTCATGTCCTGATTCTTACCATGAATCTGTAGATCTACTCATCCCTAAATAGGGCACGAATGCCCTCTACCCTCAACTCCTCAAGTACTTCTAAACTCAATGTACTTATAAAAGCATGTCTTCGATGTCTGATTTTTCAGGCCCTGCTCACAAATGGAGAGGTTTAAAATGAGAAGTTAAAGGTCACACTTGCACACCAGGTTTTGCCAAGCTTGGCATGCTGCCAGCTCCGAGATGCCTACTGTTAGCTCACATACCCAGTGATCAGGTCTGCTTTCTAAGGAAGGCCAGCCTCAGAGTTCCATGGTCTTCTTAAGCACAGCTAACCGTACCACAACAACCAAAACTGCCCTGTGCTTCCTCCTTCCTGCACTCTTCTCCATGCTTCTCTACTCGAGCTCAACTCCAATGGGCCACACACACATGGTTTTGGCTTCAAGCCATCCCTCCAACTCACATTCAGAGGAGCCCAGCAGTCACTCCAGCCACCTTGGCCATACCTACCTTGCACTTCTCAGCACGAACAGGTGCTGACAAAAGAAGGAAAGCATGCCAGAAGCAGGCTACCCACTGCTACCACCTGAGCCTTGGCACAACCTCTGGGAAGTATGCAGCAGCAGGGGCTTTGCAGCCACAAAACTGGGGGAACAAAGCCCCAGAAGGTGGGGGGTACCCTACATAGAGCTCCTTATAGTGCAGGCCTTCTCTTCCCCTTTCAGACCCTCAATGATAATTTTTAATTACTTTCAGCTACTTGTGGTATACACATACACAGCTCCCCCCCCAAAAAAACTGAACATAATAAATCCAAAAACATAATGAAAACATAAGTAATATTTATAACTTCTCCTTCACTCAGGTCTTATTCCAAATTCTCATCATAAAATAGAAATGACCCTGAGTTTTTGAAAGCCATACCAAGTAAATACAAGTTCTAGTGGCATCAAGTATGGGAGTCATCTAAACAATGTCTACCTACTATTTGAGAATCAAGTCAAGCTCAGTTCAGAGGTCATCACTGGAAGACTGGCCAGCTGATGGTAATCCTAGGAGGACAGCTCCTAGAAGGGACCTCCAAAGCTATCTCATGCAACCCCCTCATTTTACAGATGAGGAAACTGAAACTCAGGGGCGTTAAATGATTTGCCCAAGGTCACAAAGGGAGCAAACATCTAAGGTGAAATTTGAACCTAGGTCCTCTGACTTCAATAAACAGTGTTCTTCCCACTGTGCCATGAATTTTTGTGGGAAAAGCAACTAAAAACAAAAAAAGACAGAGAGACAGACCATTTACCGAGGCATGGAAGTTCTGTGAAATCACAGAATGTCTAGAGTAATGAATTAGAATGTATAAGCTCCTTGAGGTCAGGGACTGTTTTTGCCTCTCTTTGTATCATCAGTGCTAATAAACATAGTTCATGGCACACAGAAGGCCTCAATGTTTTTTGACTAATAAAAGCACAATTAGGGTTAGGGTTAGTTATTATCTTGTTTTTAAAGGGTTTTGGGGGGGGGGAAGGAATCTTTAGGGTGGGAATGATCTTCTACTTCGGTTGCATCTTATCCAGTACAGTACTTGGCATATAGTCTCAACTCCAAAAACGTTGTTGATTAGCAGGCACATTCATAATGTCGAGTAGCAGGTTTATAAGGGTTAAACACAGATATCAAGAGTCTGTAAATACCATGCTTTACAACGTAAGGAAAAGACCAATTATTTAAAGGTCACCTTCAAATTACTCTGTTTCATAACTCGGAGCAAAGATGTGGGAAAGACATGGAAACGGTCAAGCCGTCCTCCCATGCCAAGCTTCCCTGGAGAAAGGCCTCACCCAGAGCAAACTTATTCTAGCCCTGCCCCTCACCAGTGTGAGCAGTCATGCAGGCTGTCGTGGAGGGCTTTGCGCAGCACTGAGTCCTTGTCATAGATGCCCCAGGTGGCCTGTAGCACTGAGTCCAACAAGCAGTCCCCTGCAGTCCGGTTCCAAAGTGCATAGAGTCTACTGTCCAAGCGAGTCGCCAATTCCAAGGACCAGTTTATAATCGGAGATTCCTCTTCTAACTCTAAGAAGCATTTAAAACATGCTCATTTTTGTATCTGTGCAATTAAGGCATATTTTAGTAGGACAGCTTATTCACAACCAACGAGAAGGAATGGAGTGGTATAAGATTTACTAGTGGTCACATAAGTAAATTAGGAGAAAAACTTTTTTGAGTTATCCAAACATCATAGGAATTCACAAATAAATTATAAAACAATTTTAAAAGATCCAAAGCAATAAGTTATTTAGGAATTAAGTTAGTCAGGAAATCACATAACCTCATCAACTTACAAAATTCTGTATATGTTAACAATTGGGACCTAGAAGATAATCAAGGCAAATTTCAAAAATAGTTACTTCACCAATTTGCTTGTCTCCTTTATCCTAGCAAGAACTGTGACACGGAACTTTATAATTCCCATATAACCATCCAGACACTGAACAACTCTATCACAGGGTCTTAAAAACTTAAACAGTTTTTATTTCAGTGATCAAAAATATAGAAGGTGTATGCTCAGCCTCTAAAATGTGTGCCATACAAAAATTATTCCACTGATCTTTAAGAGTTATCAATAAAGCAACAGGTTATAATATAATTAAAGCTAACTATAATCACTCATGATATCACAGGTCTTCTTAAAAAACAACAATTACCTTACTGCTTACCTTTCTGAACATCCCTATCAAGCACTTCATCAAATAATTTTTCTTGTACTGTGGGAGGCAAGTCTTCAATATCTAGAAGAATGGGAAACAAAAGGGCAGGGAGATGTGGGAATGGGAAGACACATTTTACAGAAAAGAATAAACTTGATGGGGCAGCGAGGTGGCGCAGTAGATAGAGCTCTGGCCTTGGAGTCAGGAGGACCTGAGTTCAAATCCGGTCTCAGACACTGGACACTTACTAGCTGTGTCACCCTGGGCAAGTCACAACCAATTGTCTCACCAAAAAGCAAAAAATTAAAAATTAAAAAAATCAACTTGATAATGGTGTCAAATTCCACTAAAATATCACCATATCAACTCATGTTGCAAGGTAAATTTTATATAGCAAAAACATATAAAGCTCTAGTTCATAAACTATCAAAAATTCCATTTTAAAATGCCAAATAAAACACGTTTTACTTAAGCACCACTTATTCATAAGTAAGTCTCCCTTCTAGTCCTCATTTTAATGCCTTAGGATAATGTTTTAATGACAAAATTAAATCCATTCATTAACCTAGGTTTCACATCTCCTCTTATTTTTCATTCCTCGGTTTAAAGATCAAAACTCAGTACCTAAGCCCAGCACTGTCTCGTAAGGTCATTAACACTTAATGGCCAAACTCCTCTGTAGCCACTGTCCATAATACTGCATCCTGCTCAGTCCTGCCTGCAAAAGGACTTCCTCTAACTCCAGTGTTCTAAAGCCCAATCAGTGGTCAGTGACACACACTTCTATGTACACTTGTTCAATGCCTTTCTGCCCTTTTTACAGTCACAATGAACTATTCACTCAACACAAAATGAAAATCTAATCATTGTGTTGTATATATAATTCCTACTGCTAGGACCTAAGTATACAAGAATATATTGAAGTTATTTTTCAAATTAAGTTTGCATAAATTATTAGCGTTAACCTAAAACTGCTACTTTTTTATTTTTAGTTCCTACTAAACAATTCCCACCTTTCCTTGGGAAATGGAAAAATCATTTGCGATTTTGCAAGGTTGCCTCAATGGCAAATGCTGTTCCAATGGACAAAAATGAATTACTCTTCTCCCTTTACCAACTCTGCTTTTTTCAACTATGACATTAAGCTGCCCAACAAATGTAGATGCCCACATGGAACCTTTACTCTAAAAACAATGGTCTTTGGTGATATTTTTCAATGACAATTGGACAGAAACAAAAACAAAGATGTGTGATTCCAACCTGAAGACTCACTAGCTCTATAGAGAAATATGGAAGATAGGCTGTAATGCATGAAAACATTCTATGCTTATATTAAAAAGCATAGCATGCAAAAAAAAAACCATACACATCCATACAGAAAGGCATAAGTTATTATTTACATAAACCAGACAAGCACAAAAAAATTACAAATGTAAAACAGATAAGGATTAGAATGTGGTTTCCTTTTCCACCCCTTACTCCCACAGAAAGGGAATAATTCACTAAAATGTTCTCTGAAAGCTACTCTTCTTTGCCAGCACCATGCAATTAGATAAATAATACAACAGAAAGGTTCCGGTTTCATAGTTACCTGCAGGTAATGTGAATGTAACAAGATCGGTCAGAAAATAACAAGCGAAGTCCCCCTTTCGTTGATGGAGGGAGGCAGCAATCTCACGTCGGATTTGTTCTGTCAGCTCAGGACACACCATTGCTGGAATGCACTTTGCTGCTTGCTGAGATACCTGAAAAAGGAGACAGATTGGAAAGGAATTTGTTTGATGTCACAACAGCAACAACAATGGCATTCACTACAGGCCAGCCACTGTCCTAAGAGCTCTGCAATATAATCTCATTCAATTTTCACAACAATCCTGAGAGGCAGATGCTTTTATTATCTTCATTTCACAGGTAAGGAGACTAAGGCAGACAGAGGTGAAGTATTTAAGGCCAGATTCAGGTCTTCCTTCCTCCAAGCTCAGCACTCTATCCACTGCGCCACCAGCTAACTAATAGGCAAGTACTATTATCCCGATTTTACAGATGAGGAGACTGAGGAAGGCAGCCATTACATGATTTGCCTAGGTTTAGACAGCTAGCGATCACCTAAGAATTTGAACTGCTGGTCACTCTGTGCTCCTCGGTGCTTATTATACGATAACATAAGGAGAATGAGAAGGGGCACACACAGTTCAGAGAAATCTAGAAAATCTCTGCTGAATGAGGTTAGCAGTTGAGCTGAGTGTTGAAGGAAACAGGACCTGAGGTGTCAGTTAAGACTCAGACCGCTGGTCCAATGTGGAGTCCGAGTGTTCGGCTGCCAGGGGTGGGTAGGCTTTTCTCTTCCTCTCTCTCCCTCCACTCTACACTCTGGGGGAAAGGAGGTCAGAGGAGCAGAGGTCAGAAGCAGCAGGGGAGGAGTCCTCTGAGCTCTCACTTCAGTTCCTGGGGTTGCCTGGCCCAGCTCAAAGGGAAAAGGAAGCAGAATAGTGAAGGCCTCATGAGCCACATCAGTGATAAACACTTTGGCAAAGACATATTTTCACAGATACGCTACACTCCCACTACACTTCAATTCCATGAAGTAGCCAGAGAGATCAGTGCATTTCTCACTGGTGATGTACTTCATATTAGAATTCTAGACCCACAGGACTTCAGGGATGGGAGAGATCCCAGTAATCCTGTGGTTCATTCAAGGATCTTTATTTGCAGGCAGAAGGATTTATCTTATGTGAGAAGAGGGCCTGTCAGAGGCTGGAGTAGGAGGGATGGAGTTATGCTGTTTTCTGTCTCTGAGAAGGTAATGGAAAGGTGTGATCAGAGACTTTAATCTTGGGAGGGAACTTGGAGATCCTTTTGTCCAAAGTGTGTTTTACTGATGAGCAGACTGAAGTTTACTAAAAACTATTTGTTAGGAAAAGAAGGAGGTTATTCAGTTGATACCTCCTGCTCGCCGGGCCAGGTGAGATCTCGTCAGACCAGCAAGGGCCCATCACATTGTTCTCAGAAAGAATGCCTGTGAACAATTGCCCTCAAAGCCCTCCTGGAATTCAGGAGGAGGTGAGTCTCTCCTTCAGGATGGACGCTTCCCTGTTCTTTAGCTTGTCTATATTTGTTACTCTCTGCATTAATCTGGGAAGATTAAATAAAATGTTTTACTTAGAACCTTAGCCAAATTATAGTGGACCCTGGCCAATATTATTGACATTTCAACATAGTTCACTTGGGATGAGGTGTCATTCTCGAACTGGCCACATGCTAGGTTTGGGGTCAAAAGACCTTTCTCTGATTTCACCTTGGATGGTCCCATGTGGCTGACTGGGCACCAAAGAGCCACTAAAGCCCTTGGAAGCTCTGCCACCTGACGGGCTTCAACTGCTAGCAGTGGAAGGTCTTCCCACACTGAATGCACACACCTCAAGCGCTAAAAATAACTAAATGAATAAATGGGATCTTGCAATCTTTCCATAAGTCTTCCTCTACTCAAGTCTTCTTTTCACGCTTTATTGTGAACTGAGGGGTGGAAGTTCTCCAAAAAATGCCTGCTGAATGCCAAGTTTTCACAGGTCCTTCCAAGCTGGAGAAAGGTCAGCTCTGAGCACAAGGCTAGGTACCAAAGCTGAGGTCCATGAGGGCTGCAAGGAGATGAAATTTTGATCCACAGCACCTCTTTTTTTTTTTTTTTCCCCTTTTTTTTTGGTGAGGCAATTGGGGTTAAGTGACTTGCCCAGGGTCACACACCTAGTAAGTGTTAAGTGACTGAGGCTAGATTTGAACTCAGGTCCTCCTGACTCCAATTCACTGTACCACCTATCTGCCCCCACAGCTCCTCTTGAAGACAATCTACAGAGTTTTGAAGAGGCTGTGATTCACATCAGGGGAAAGAACATCCAACTCACAAATACCATCCTCTTAACATATAACTGTTCAGTAACTCAGTAGTGTCCAACTCTTCAGGACACATGGACCACACAGTCCATGGGGTTTTCTTGGCAAAGACACTGGAGTAACTTGCCATTTCCTTCTCCAGTGGATTAAGGCAGAGGTTAAGTGATTTGCCCAGGGTCACACTGCTAGTCAGTGTCTGAGGCTAAATTTGAACTCAGGTCTTCCTGACTCCAGGCTCAGTGTTCTATCCACTGAGCCACCTAGCAGCCTCATAGGCAAACAGAGGCAAACAGTGATTTGCCCAGGGTCACACAGCCACTAAGTGTCTGAGGCTGGATTTGAACTCAGGTCTCCTCGCCTCTAGGCCCAGAACTCTAGTCTCTGAGTCATCTAGCTGCCTCTCTCTTAATATATAACACATCTCCCAGAACACATGAGATTTCTTGTGAATTTTTGTGACCACCCTTTTAACAGTCTTGTTAAGTAATTGGTACAGAGGATAGCACACTGGGCCTGGAATCAGGAAGATCTGAGTTCAAATCCAGCCTCCAAACTGACTAGCTGTATGACCCTGGGTAAGTCACTTAACCTTTCTCTACCTCAGTTTCCTCAACTATAAAATGGGCATAACGATGCCACCTACTTCCCAAAATTGTTGTGAAGATCAAAGGAGATAGTATTTGTAAAGTGCTTAGGACAGTGCCTGGAACATCGTAGGCACTATATCAATTTCTAGGACCACAATGATGTTACATGCCATATAAATACATATCCCTTCCCCTCCCCTCTGCACCCTCCCTTTCGAGAGTTGTTGTCAGGATCCCATAAGATAACGACCATAAAACTTTGCAAGCCTTAAAGTACAAATGCTAGTTATCCTCGTCATCGTCACCAGCACCACTGTTCTGACCAGCATTAGCACATTTGTGGGCCTTGTCCTTTGCAGGCAAAAAAGGTTTCTCTTCTTTCAGCCAGGGCCTACCCCATTTCCTCGTGAACAGCAGGCACATTAAGTGAGGCTGCCTGAACTGACCCAAGCTCAGGCCTCTTCCTCTTCCTCCCTTAGAATCAGCCTGCTCCCTACTCCCACCCTTTTCCAACACGACTCCAGCTCCTCCATTTTTTTCCAAAGCAATGCATCTTTTTCCACTTTCAAAATGGAAAATCATGGAAAATAAGATTTGATGTCTCCTCCCCACTTCATACTAGGAATTCATTCCTGAAAAAATGTGCCAGAGGTTGTATTTTAAACCATCTGTGCTCTAAGTCAAGCTAGGGCAATGCTACTTTCTTTAGGTTAGACACAATTTTGTAGGTTAACTAATTGTTCAGTAACGAACATACTGTTACTGAAAAAAATTATCTATAAAGACCTGAGTGGAGAAACTGCTGGACAATGCCCAGAGGAATACAAGCTTTAAGCATGTCATTCCAGGGTTTTCTGACCCTCAGATAACACTGCGATACTGCAACAGAGCTGTGATGGCATTAAGGTGAGTACTCTCTCAGTAGGTCACCAAACATTTATAAAGCACTGACCCTGAGATCCTCAGTTACCCCTCATTCAATACAAGAAGGGCCTGTTTTTGGTTTTTTTTGGGGGGGGCGGGGGGACAGGACAGGGGACAGACAACTCATGTTTCTGATGCTGTCTTCCTATGTGACTTATCCAGTGCAATTCCCTGTGTACAAAAGATTGCAACCTGATCTGACCAACAGACGCTGTCTTTGATTCAGTGATGCCATACTCCTGGCTGTTCCAGGAACAAGACCCACCATCTCGCAGCTCTAGACATTCTCTCCGACTGCCCTTCATGCCTGGAATTCTCCCTACTCATCTCTGCTTCCTGGCTCCCTTTAAGTCCCACCTAAAATCCCATCTTCTATAGGAAGCCTTCCCCAACCCCTCAATTTCAGTGCCTTCCTTCTGTTAATTGTTTCCTATTTATTCTGTACAAAGCTTGTTTTTGTATATATGTGATTGTGTGCAGTTTCCCCCCAGCATTTAGGTGGCATAGTGGATAGGGATCACTCCTCTTCCTGAGTTCAAATCCTGCTTCAGACATTTACCAACTATGTGAACCTGGGCAAGTCACTTCATCCCATATGCCTCAGTTTCCTCATTTGTAAAATGAGCTGGAGAAGGAAATGGCAAACCTCTGTAGTATCCCTGCCAAGAACACCTCAAACGGGGTTGCAAAGAGTTAGACATGACTGAACAACAACAATGACAAAAGTCTCCCCCATTAAATCACACGCACCTTGAGGGCAGGGACAGTCTTTGCTTCTTTTTGTATCCCCAGTGCTTAGCACAGTGCCCAGCACATAGTAGGAACTTAATCAATATTTACTGAACGATTATTTAGACTCTCCATTGTCCTTATGGTGATCCTAAACTTTAATTCTTGGAGACTCTGCCACTCCATGGCTTGAAATCGTATCATGACCAGAAGACTACTGGTGTTCAAAATATAAATACACACACACATGCATGTGTTAAATATATAGACATATACACGAATACATAAATATATATTTGGAGAAAGAAAGAGAGAGAATGCCACGCCTCTGTTTCAGAAAGTAACTTGGGGTCATTAAAAGAGCTGTGATTACCCAACAGCAACGTGCTACTCGAAAGAGACTGTTTCTCTAAATATTATATACTGCTGCAGCCTCTTAAAACAATAACGTCACATTAATATAGCACTCTGAGGTCTAGAAACGTTTTCCCTCACGACGACTCTCTGAGGAAGAGAATACAAACTGATCCCCTGTTTACAGAAGGGGAATGTGAAAATTCAGAGGTCAAGTATCTTTTTAATGACAATAAGGACCATGTCTTGAGAATCATAATATTATTGAAAAATACACTGTAAAAGGGTCAAATCCCACAACATCTGCCACTTACAATCTCTGTGACCTTCAACAAAGCACTGAAGTCTCTTCTCTAGGTCTCAAATTTTTCAGGTGTAAAATGGGGTGACATGAAATGATCTCTTGGGTCCCTTCAAGCTCTTCCTGCCATAACTCCCCTGGGGTGCACAGGGAGCTGCCCACAGCAGGCACTTAAACAGGAAAAGAAATGACAAGTGCCCCAGGACACTGTCTCACTGCTTGCGAGGTGCATGAGAGAGAGCCAGAAGTAGCTGAGCGCTCTCTCTCTCTCTCTCTCACTTCTTTAATGCTAGGACATCAAGTTTGGCGCCAAAGAGAAGAGGATGAGAATGAAGACATGTTTGGAAAAGCTGATTATAGGATTTAAACTCAGAGCTATCCTATAATCATACTTAAAACTGTGCTCAAGAATGTCTGCATTGAGGAGCAGCTAGGTGGTGCAGTGGATAGAGCACCAGCCCAGGAGGACCTGAGTTCAAATCTGGCCTCAGACACTTGAAACTTACTAGATGTGTGACCCTGGGCAAGTCACTTAGCCCCGATTGGCTCACCAAAAAAAAAAAAGAATGTCTGCATTGATACTCAATTGATGAGCATCTATGGCAGGATGACCACTACGACAGCCCACAGCCTCTACAGGTCCTTTCTCGGTCCTCGTCCTTCTGGACCTCTTAGCAGCCTCGGACGCAGCTGAGGGCCCTCTTCTCAACACTCTCTCCTTACTAAGGTTTTATGACTCTACTCTCCCCCTAGTTCTCCTCCTCGGTATCTAACCACTCCTTCTCTGTCTCCTTTGCCAGATCCTCCTACAGATGGCTCCCTATAACCACAGGTGTCCTTCAACGTTCTGCCAGGGGCCATCTCTTACTTGCATCTCCCACTGCCTACTAGACATCTCAAACTGGATGTCCCACTGACAGCTTCAACTCAACACGCCCAAAACCAAAAGAATCATTGCCCACCAAACCCTTCCATGGTCTCAACTTCCTTATCGCTATCTCCCCCAGCACTCCCCCCCAGGCACTCAGGCTCCCAACCTAAGTGTCATCCTGGCCTCCTCACTCTCACTCCCCCTCACTCCCCAGATCCAAGCTGCTGCCAAGGCCTGTCAACTTCACCCATGCCGACATCTCTAACGCTCCCCTGCCCTGCCCCACCTTCTCTCACCTGACACGGTCACCACCCTGGTGCAGGTCCCTGTCAACCTCACGCCTCGGCTACTGAAACAGCTGCTGTGGGGTCTGCCTGCCTCACGTCGCTCCACTCCAATTTGTACTAAAGTGCAAGTCTGATCATCCACCCCCTACTCAATAAACTCCAGGGGCTCCCTATCACCGCTAGGACCCCTCTGTTTGGCTCTGAAAGCCCTTCCCAGCCTGCTCTGCTGCTCTCTGGGCCGTCTTCTTATGCTTTACTCCCCCTCCAGCAGCTACCCTACAATTCGACTTCCCTGGTGTCCGTGCTCATCCTTACACCAGACCTTCCATGTCCCATCCCTCCAGGCCTCCACACCCCCACCCCTGCCCCCATATCTCCATCTTCAGGCTTCCCTGGCTTCCCACCAAGTCTCAAATAAAATCCTGCCTTCCACAAGAAGCCTACCCCAAGCCCTTACCAGGCTAGCCCCTTCCTTCTGAAAGTACTTCCAACTAGGCCCACAGGTACCATGTGTGCGCACAGTTCTCTTCATGTTGGCTCCCCATCAGACCAAGTTCCTTGAGTGCAGGAACAGTGTCGGGCTCTGTAGCACGGAGCGTGGTACGCACTAAGTGCTTGCTGAAAGCTCGCTGACAAAGAGACATGCCGTATCTGTCCTCTCTCTTACAATTCTCTCAAGGTGCAGCACCCAACTTGCTCAACACCTTCCTTCCCCTATGTCTTTTACATTTCATGGATCCCACTGCAGTAATCAGGCTATAGTTCTGTTAGCCTTCACCTTCTGGCAACATGGCAGGCCCATGATCCTGATCCAATATTTCTGATTTTGATCAAACATCTAACCCAAGAGGATCCTGTCCTAACTTCATTTCTTGTGAACAGGGAGGGCATCATTTGAAAAATGGTGCCACCTACTTGCAACCACCATTATCTACAGGCTAATCTTTGGGTCACTTGTAACTTTAATTCTTTGAAAATTATGGTATACAAAGAATACAAACTGGGCAGCTAGGTGGCACAGTGGATAGAGTACTGGCCCTGGAGTCAGGAGGACCCGAGTTCAAATCCGCCCTCAGACACATAACACTTACTAGCTGTGTGACTCTGGGCAAGTCACTTAAACCCAACTGCCAAAAAAAGAGAAAAAAAAAAGAATACAAACTCCAAATATCAAAGTTCCTACTTACCTCTGTAAGCAATATTGCTAGCATGTCCTGCCTCTGAAAACGTATTGCCAGATGTACCAGAGTGTACCCAACATCAAAGGCAGATGGGCGATTCAGCAAACGAACTTCATCAGCAGTAAGCTGCCGTGCAATATCTCCACCTGATGACTTATATGCTTCTATAGCAGCTAAATCACCCTCTACAACTCCTTAAAAGAAAAAAAAATAGAAATCTGATTAATTGTGTTTTTTTTAAGAAGGCAAGAATCTGTGTCATTTATGTCAATGCTAAGTCCCTGTTCCCTGTCCCCCCCACCCAACTCCTCTCTGAACTCTGATTTAGGCCATCAGTTACACTCCTAAGGAGTAAAAGACGAAGTAATCTATAAAAGTAAGATTTTTTTGGTTACATACTCACCTTCCCCATTTAGGGTTGACCCTAAGCTCCAGCAAGATTCAGACATATCTAATATAGTGTAAGAACAGGAACTTCTCAAAAGCAAGTACTACATTCTACCTGCCTGGGTAACTGGCACATAGTCAGCACTTAACAAATGCGTATTGACTGACTGACTGTAAGAGGTCACAGAGGCTGCTGGAGTAGGGCTGGTGGTGCTGGGACCAACACTATGAAGCCTGCACAGCAAAGATCTGAGTGTGGTTTGGCCAAGCAAGCAATGAAATCATTGGTCCAACTCACTGACCTGGAAGAAGTTTTGCTTCAGGTTTAAAAAATGTTATCACTGCCTTGACACTTCACTTTTAAAACTGGGTCAAAATAAATGCTGACCTTACTGTGTCTTCAGTAGTATTCTGAAGTTGTTTTTGTTTGGGGTTGGGTCTTTGTTTTATTTGGTTTTGTTTTTGTTTGAGACAAGTAGTGTGAATTTTTGATTCAGATGCCAATGAGAAAGATGTGGCAAAAAAAAAAAAATCACTGACTTTCTAAATTATTTCCAAAGTGAAAATAAAAACCAAAAAGTCTCACTTAAATCTATTACAACTGGGGAAAGGGAGGAATGGGAGAGAGGTACTGTGGGCATAGCCCCCAATCCTCCTGGCGTCCACCTGGCATGACTATCAGAATCAATATTCATTTGTCACGTATAAGATAACACTCACTATTCACCACACAGAACAAAGTTGTAGGTCAACTTCAGATTGGTACATAAAATGATGTTAATGGCATTAACTAAGGTCTGCTAAGTACCAGCTAGAAACAGAGA